TCATCCAACGTCTCCGCCTTTTCCTCCGTGGAGTTCCCCGGCCTTGCTGCCGCCACCCTGGCTGCTGACGCCCTTGCAGCTGACTATCGTCCTGGGGTGGCAGCAGCAGCCATAGCCGAGACTCTCGCCCATCACCACCATTCGCACCACCCCTCGCTGCTGCCCCTTCCCCCCGCGCCCCCCCTGGACGACGCCGCCTTTCATCGCACCCTCTCCGACGCCGCCCGCCCAAAGTCCGGCCTGCCGCCCGCACGCGCCGCAGCGAGGGACTCAGGAGGGGGTGTGGTGGGAGTGGGGGGGGAAGTGGCGCAGGCGGGGCGCGCGAGCCGGTGCGGTCGAGCAGCGCCAGCGCCATGCCGCTGGACGCCGCTGCTGCCGCCGCCGCCGCTGCCGCCGCTGCCGTGGCCTACTCGGGCGCCTCCCCTGCGTCCACAGGTCGCCTCACCCCGCCCCTCCACGCCGGAAGGGAGAGCCCAGGCGGGCGGCGAGTGGCCTTCCACGTGGGGCTGGCGGGCGGTGGTGCTGCCAGCATGCAGGGGGGCGAGGTGGCGGGGCAGAGGGCGGAGCAAGGGGTGGGCACGGAGGTAGAGGGCAATGGTGGTGGGGATGGGGATGGAGGGGGAGGGGGAGGGGGCATGCGGTCGCTGCTGGCGGACGAGCTGGCGCTGCTGGATGAGGAGGAGGAGGCGGCAGGGGGGGGTGGGGAGGAGCGGTGGGAGGGCAAGGCAGTGAGCAGCAATAGAGCGGCAGAGGCTGGCGCAGAGACACGCGGCAGTGAAAACAAGTCAGAGGTCAGTCGCCTCACTCAAGCACTCACCATCGCCTCTCTCGCCTGCCCCTCTATTCCTGCCTCTTCCATCACCCAAACCTCTCAGTGTGCGTACTTTCCCATCCCTCTCCCTACCCCCCTCCCCCACGGGCCCCCCTTCAAGCTTAACCCCTTGCTGCCCCCCCTTCTCTCTCTCTCTCTCGTGCATGTGCGCCCAGCGGTTTCTCTCGCAGCAGCTGCGTCTCTTGCAGCTGAGTGGGCCGCACTGCACTCTCTCCTCCGACTCGCCTGTGCCCGTGCTGCCGGACACAGCATCGGGGGGGGAGGCGGCTCGCCCGGTGGCAGAGATGGAGGCGCCTGGGCAGGCGGGGGCGGCGCCCAGCAGCCGCTTCTCGTCGCGCTTCTCGTCATCGCGGCCCGCCGCCGCTGTCTCCTCGCTGCTGCCTCCCGTGGCGGCAGGCTTCAGCGCGAGCGGGGCCGGTGGGGGGCACAGTGTGGGCGCACACAGCATGGGGCAGATGGACCTGCGCGGGCTGGGCGGGGGGGGCGACGGCTTTGACTGCCGCCTCTTCACGCCCAAGCAGCTGGAGAAGGCGACGCGCGGCTACGCGCGGGAGAACCTGCTGGGGCGGGGTTCGTTTGGGTACGTGTTCCGGGGCGAGATGCTGGGGTGCAAGGTGGCGGTGAAGCGGCTGGAGGGGCAGGGGTGGCAGGGGCCAGACGAGTTCCGCATGGAGGTGGAGGTGCTCAGCCGCATGCGCCACCCCAACATCGTGCTGCTCATGGGCTGCTGCGTCGAGGAGATGGCGCTCATCTACGAGTTCCTTTCGGGCGGCACACTGCAGGACAAGTTGGGCCCGCCCAAGTCTCCCGACGCCGTGCCTCTGTCGTGGGTGGACCGCCTGCGCATCTTCTCGGAGATCTCCTCGGCGCTGCTCTACCTGCACCAGAATGAGCCGCCCATCGTGCACCGTGACCTCAAGCCGGACAACATCCTGCTGGACGGGCACATGATGAGCAAGATCGGCGACGTGGGGCTGGCGCGCCTGCTGTGCGCCGACGACGTGATGACAATGAAGGTGCGCGGCACAGCGGGGTACATCGACCCCGAGGAGGTGGAGACGTGTGAGATCAGCGTGCTGTCCGACATCTACGCCTTGGGGCTCATCCTGCTGCAGCTGCTCACGGGGCAGAAGAGTGTCAAGGCCGTGCACCGCATGCTGGCCGACGCCACCGCGCACCAGGGCCGGCCTGGCCATGGCCGGGGCGCGGCGGTGGCGGCGGAGGTGGTGCTGCGGTACCTGGACAGTGCGGCGGGCGACTGGCGCCTGGACCTGGCAGAGCAGGTGGCAGCGCTGGCGGTGCGGTGCGCTGAGCGGCGGCGGGAGAACCGGCCCGACCTGGCGGAGGAGATCCACCCCACGCTGGTGCGCGTGGCGGGCGAGGCGGCGGCGGAGGAGAAGCGGCGCAAGAAGCGCATCGACTCGCAGTTCATCTGCCCGCTCTCCAAGGTGCGTGGGACTCGCAGTCCATCTGCCCGCTCTTCAAGGTGCGTGGGACTCGCGGTTCATCTGCCCGCTCTCCAAGGTGCGTGGGACTCGCGGTTCATCTGCCCGCTCTCCAAGGTGCGTGGGTCTCGCAGTTCATCTGCCCACTCTTCAAGGTGCGTGGGACTCGCGGTTCATCTGCCCGCACTCCAAGGTGCGTGGGACTTGCAGTTCATCTGCCCGCTCTCCAAGGTGCGTGCAACTCACGGTTCATCTGCCCGCTCTCCAAGGTGCGTGGAACTCGCAGTTCATCTGCCCGCTCTTCAAGGTGCGTGGGACTCGCGGTTCATCTGCCCGCTCTCCAAGGTGCGTGGGACTCGTGGTTCATCTGCCCACTCTCCAAGGTGCGTGGGTCTCGCGGTTCATCTGCCCGCTCTCCGAGGTGCGTGGGACTAGCGGTTCATCTGCCCGCTCTCCAAGGTGCGTGGGACTCGCGGTTCATCTGCCCGCTCTCCAGGGTCAGCCCAAATGCCAGCCTTGCAGGCCGTTTGCTTGAGCGTTAACGGAACAGCTCACCAGCCCAATGACTAGGCCAGCATCCAAAGCGTCTTCATCGGCCGTTCTTCAACTACGTGGTCTTGTGTTTTCCATGGTTGAATGCATGGGTGTGTGCGTGTGTGGATGGATGTGTGTGCGTGCGTGGGTGTGTGCATGTGTGCATGGGTGTGTGCATGTGTGCATGGGTGTGTGCGTGCGTGGGTGCGTGCATGTGTGCCTGGGTGTGCTGCACGCTGTGTGTGTGCATGTGTGCCTGGGTGTGCTGCACGCTGTGTGTGTGCATGTGTGCCTGGGTGTGCTGCATGCTGTGTGTGTGCATGTGTGCCTGGGTGTGCTCCATGCTGTGTGTGTGCATGTGTGCCTGGGTGTGCTGCATGCTGTGTGTGTGCATGTGTGCCTGGGTGTGCTGCATGCTGTGTGTGTGCATGTGTGCCTGGGTGTGCTGCATGCTGTGTGTGTGCATGTGTGCCTGGGTGTGCTGCATGCTGTGTGTGTGCATGTGTGCCTGGGTGTGCTGCATGCTGTGTGTGTGCATGTGTGCCTGGGTGTGCTGCACGCTGGGTGCGTGCATGTGTGCATGGGTGTGCTGCATGCTGTGTGTGTGCATGTGTGCCTGGGTGTGCTGCATGCTGTGTGTGTGCATGTGTGCCTGGGTGTGCTGCACGCTGGGTGCGTGCATGTGTGCATGGGTGTGCTGCATGCTGTGTGTGTGCATGTGTGCATGGGTGTGCTGCATGCTGGGTGCGTGCAGGAGGTGATGAAGGACCCGGTGGTGGCGGCGGACGGCTTCACCTATGAGCGCGACCACATCGCGCGCTGGATGGCGTCGTCCGCGCTCTCGCCGTCTACGGGGCAGCCGCTGCCGCACACGTGCCTCACGCCCAACAATGTGCTCAAGAACCTCATCGCCTCCCACAAGTTCCACTGACACCCCCCCTGCCCTCCCACAAGCTCCACTGACGCCCCCCCTGCCGCCCCGCGCTCTGCGCCACAAGGAGACGGGTGGGAAACTGAGAGGGAGCGCATATTTCCTAGAAAAACGGTTTCTGCGGTGCCACGTCGCCCCGCCATCTGTTGGTATGCCCTCACCTCGTGCAGGGTCCAGGTGCCCATCAGCCTTTGTAGATGCGGCATTCTTTTCAGGGAATGAAGAAGCCGATGGCAGCTTTCAACTGCCTGTAATAATCTGTTAGTCTTCTCCTGCAGTTCTTCAACAGGCATTTTACTACAGCTGTAGTTAACTGCATGCACAACCAGCGAGCAGTTAGAGAGGAAATCGTTGCTGATCTTGCACCTGGACCCTTATCATATTATAATATGAGGTTGCTATCGAAGGTAGTACAGCTTCAGTGCAGCGTAACCTGAATCTGTAAGCATATTAGGGCTCGTTTCTAGTCATGGCCTAAATGTTCACAGCACACCGGCTGTTACAACACTCAATCTGATTGGTTCGGGAGGGAACAAGGCAGTGCAATAAGGGCCTTTTCCTACGAGCCGGGCGATCAGTGATCATCAGTACCAGTATCAGAAGTCATCAAGTACCAAGTTCGGGCTGCTTGACGACGCACGTCAGCATCGCATAGGAACAGCTAATTGGCCAGCTGAGACTCCGATTCGCCAAAGTCACACAGCGCAGCGTGCGCCCGCCGCGTGCAGCTGAGGCGAATCCAAACGACGGCCAGTAACGCACGCCAGCTTCAAACGAGAGGTCAGAACAAGGGGCGACGGACACTAAAAAGAAAGCGACGGTTTCGAACTGCTTTTATTTTTTACTTGCTGAGCACTTGTGATGGCTGGAAAAACTTGTTTTTGGTCAGGATTGTCCATCGAGAGCGTGGACTGCGACTTTCCACTGCGGATCGCTAACATCGCGTGGCCAACCCATGAGTGCGACACTTTTCCGCCCAGTCCGATTTTCAGGCCCTCAAGGCTTGATCAGACAGCAGATCAAACTAGCCTGGTACAGATCACTAGGGGTGCAGACAGAAGCCCCCCTACCACTCCGTTTTTGGGTGTTTTTGGGTGTTTCCCTAGCTGTACCGGTACAAGCTGAATGGTGGTCTGACTAGGGGATAGAGATGCGCCCTTACACAGGGGCACGAGTGTTATCTTATTTAACCACAACAGAGAATGTCAAAAGAGCTCCTTTCCATTCAAACTCAAATTGTTTTGGCAGCACCCTGATTTCTAAAGAAAATCACCAAAACGTAACTACTCCATTGGAGATCGTTAGTGCCCCCAAAAGGGATGTTTCACTATGTCAAGATGTGCAACAGCCTAGATCAACACAAGTCCATCTACTGCTATGGTTACAGTGAAAGCCACAACCTATGAGGTCTCTGGCGCACAGCAATTTCACACCTATGGCACATGTCCTACACCCAGCTAGATCAGCTCCATCTACAGATAAGTGGGGCGCATCGCACACGGCTGCCAGAGAGCGCCGACTGGCTCTGGGATGTGGCAAGTGGCTTAGCGGAGGCAGAAATGTGGCTCGTGTATTCACCAGACTTGCATTGTGCCAAGCCAGTCTGGACTCGTTTCCAAGTTGCAGCATGCTACACGCCTTATCACACACGGGCGTGCCTTGCCCTGCCTGGAATGCCTGTCCCCCTTTGAGCTTCCAGCCTTGCCCTTCCACCTGCCCCTTGCCCTGCTGCAGGCTGCACCCACCATCACCCGCCACTGCCCGCACCTCACATGCACCTGTGCTGCCCCTGCCATTCCCCCTTCTCGCCCTCTGCGCCCTGCTCTAACCCACCGGCCACCACTCCCCTCACCCCTCCCCTCCCTGCCTGCTGCGCGTCACCAAGGCGCCGGTCGCACGGCAAGGCACAGCGCTCCAAGCGCTGCTGGCAGGGAGGCGGGCCCCCAGCCCGCAGGTGCACGCACAGGCAGCAGCGGGGAAGGGGCGTCACGAGACGAGGGGCGAGGGGCGGCATGGGAGGCTGGAGGAAGTCTCGAGAGGAGGCTGCCTCGCAGCCCAGTCAAACAGTTAGCTCGCTGGGCGGGCATGAGCGCCCCACACGAACTGCTGCCCTGCCTAAGCGCCCCACACGCACTGCTGCCCTGCTGCACACATACTTGGGGTGCCTGGGCGTCTGGATGTCTGGGTGGTTGCACACTGCATGGATGGGTCGATGCGTGGCTTGCTTGGCGCCAACTGCAAGGCTGGAAAAATGGAAAGCGGGATGATTCCGCTGCCGATTATTGGACGGACAGCCCCAACGAGTCAGCTGGCTGAAGAATGAGTTAACTGGAGCGATTCCCCCACCACCTCATCCGCCGCACGCGTCAGTCCGTCTCGCAGGTGCGCCGTTGCCACGCAAAGCCGTGCTCCTCCAGCCGCTCGCCCGCCCGAGCGGGCAGTGCGTGCATCCAGTCCCAGTCCGCCGCGATCTTGCGCAGCACGCGCAGCTTGGAGTCCAGCCCGAAGCAGCACGTGGCGTGCACCGTCACCAGCTCCGCCAGACGCGCGCCCATCTCGCAGAACCCGCCGAAGTGCGCTGTGGGCAGGTAGCGCACCGTCAGCGGCGTCGCCGTGCGCGTGAAAGGGTTGGCCTCGGGGCGGATCCAGTCGAAGATCTGCTGGATGCGGTGCTTCGGCAGCCTGGGGCGGAGGGGGGTTTGGGGAGGGGGAGGGGGGGGGCGGGGGGAAGAGAGGGACAGGGCGAGTAGAGTGAGTGAGATGGGGGGCAAGCAGATGTGTGCTAGTGGCCGGAGGGAGGCAATGGGCAGCAGGAGGTGGTGAGTGCAGGGCCGTGAGAGTGAGAATGAGAGTGAGGCGGTGAGAATGAGAGTGAGGCAGTGAGAATGAGAGTGAGGCGGTGAGAGTGAGGCGGTGAGAGTGAGGCGGTGAGAGTGAGGCGGTGAGAGTGAGGCGGTGAGAGTGAGGCAGTGAGAGCGGGGCAGCAGAGCGATAGCGAGGCGGAGAGGCTCACCGTTTGTGCCAGGCGATCCAGTCGTCAAAGAACTTGAGCATGCGCGTGTTGCTGCGCGCCGCGTAGAAGCCGCCGTTGGCGACGACGGCGCGCGAGTTGGCATACCACCAGTCGACGCTCATGTGCATGTCCTCGGGCGCCGCCAGCAGCAGCGACGGCAGCGGGTTGCGCAGCCAGAGAATGTCGTTGTCCGTGAATACCACGTCGAAGCCCAGCGCCAGCATGCTGCGCACCACGTGGACCTTGCGCCAAACCTGCGGGGCCACGGGGGAGGAGGGGGAGAGAGGGGAGTGGTGTCATTGGGTGCGGTATAGTTGCGCGCACGAGGGCAAGGAGAGAAGGGGGGGAGGAGCGGGCGAAGGGACGGTTGAGCAGCGCACCAGTTTGTACCTAAGCGGGCATGGGTCCTACCAGGTGGATGTAGGCGGGCGTCATGAAGTGCTTCTGGTCGCCGCTGAAGTCGTCCTTCTCCTCGGCGTCGTCCTGCCAGTCGTAGTAGCAGTGCAGTCCCAGCGAGCAGCACACGCCGAAGCTCGCGTCGTCGTACGCCACCACCACCAGCCGATCCACCAGCCGGTTCAGCCCCGTCACCCCAGCCTCCGCGCCCTCCGCCTCCTGCGCGTGCCGCTCCGCGAGGCGGAGGCGCTCGAGGAAGAAGCGCATCATGGGCGCCCACGCCTCCGACAGCGCTGTGACTATAACGGTGCGCGACAGCGACGACGCCCGTGCCGCCTCCACCAGGCTGGCGGCGGCCGACTTGCCGCCGCCCTCGTCCGCCGCGGCGCCGAGGGGAGGTGCATCTGAGGGCGGGTGATCCGGGTCCAGCAGCGCGGCGGGCCCGCCATACTCCTCCTCCAATGCCGCCGCCAGCGCTGCCGCTGCCGACGGATCGCCGCCCGCCGCCGTGACCGCTCCGTCAAGCACGTCCTTGAGCGTTCTGCGCGCCCGCGGAGAAACGCAGGGGGGGAGGGAGGAGCAGGTTGGGCACAACGTGGAGTCGAGGAGAGACACGGAGGGAGGCATGCGAGACACGCGCAGGAAGCATGAGAGGCACGCGCGGGAGGCTTGAAAGACGCGCGGGACCACGAGGCGAGGGCGATGAGGGCAGCGCTAATCAAGAAGCTCCAACCCTAAGCAGCTGGCGCCGATCGACGAGACTGCGGCGTTGAAACGCGCAAGCACAGACAGGGAGGCGAGGGGCGGGGAAGTGACCTACCTGCATTTGGAGCACGAGGAGGGTTGTCGGCTGGAGAGTGGTTGGTCGGAGGGTGGTTGGTCGGAGGACGACGCGGTGAGCGACGCGAGGAACGAGTGGTCTGGTCTGTCGGCCTCGTCGAGCGCCCGCCGAGGCACGGACGATGACGACCACTCCAATTGCGGTCTCAGCGCACTGCCGCCGCTGCTGCTGCTGCTGCTGCTGCTGCCCCCAAGGCCTCGCCTTTGCCCGCCGCACACGCCGTCGCGCGCCTGATCCACCAGCACTCTCGCCACCCTCGCGGGTACCGCCGCTGCTCTCCGCTTCGCGGGGTGCAGCCGCACCATGACGAATGCGAGCGACGCGATCGCGAAGACGGTGAGCAGCAGCCACAGGCGCGGCAGTCTGCGGTGGCGCATGGTGAGGCGCGGCCACAAGGCGGCGGGGCCTAGAGAGATGGTGCAGAGCACGGAGGCATAGGGCGAGGCGAAGTGCGACGAGGCGGTGAGCGGGTGCGCGCTGTGTCTGGAGGACGAGTGGAGCGGGTGCTGCTGGGACCTAAGGAACGGCGGGGTCAGCGTGGACGCGCATCTACTGTCTCGATCGCACGGTGCAGGCTCCGTGCACGCTCCCATCTACGATACGAAACGCTGAAGTCGTGATGAGGGTCAAAGGCAAGATCTCGCGAAGATATAAAGCTGCTGTTATGGTTCTTCCCGTTTCAGCTGCTAAATTGGTCGAACAACGGCACTAAGAGTGTGTTGTAAGCTTTTGGTAGCGTCAACTACGGCAGGTGGTTTGGTGCTAAGAAGAAGCTATTACATGATTCAAGTATGCGCTGAGTAGAAAGGCTGACTGGAGGAAGCTCCAAGAAACACGCGCAAGGCCTGGACCTGCTGCTGCCACCTTTGCTGCTCGGTTTCTCAACAGGATGCCATCTTGCCCTTCGTTGCCGCCTGTCCCTCTCATGCTAGTCCGCCTCGCTGTTTGTTACTCACCGTTTAGCTTTCGGTGGCCTTCGCAAGCCTTTCGGCACCCAACCAAGCAGCAAGGAAGAGCCTGTGGATCGGCTAGCCTCGCCGCACTCGCCTCGCCACTAGGACCTCCAGGCCCAGGTTCGGTGGGGTGGGGCCATCTGATGATGGATGGCTTCCCCTCTTCCACCAGGTCGTTTCCGCTGCGCCCCTGCGCGCGGTGGTGGTGGGGCACCGAGCTAGACCCTAGTTCAACTAAGCGAACCGGAGGCTCGGCAATCCGAACGAGTCAGGCAGACGCCACCAACAACTGGTCGGGGAGGCTCGGGGAGAGGTACAGTGCTTATGAGGAGAGGAGCACGAACTGGTCTCCTTCAAGCACGTCGAGGCGCCAAGGCGCGGGAATACCCGCAACGGTTTGGAATGTGGGGCTTCAGCGCGATTTGGCTCTGATTGAGCCAGTACAGAACGCGCAAATTTTCTGGTAGCCCAGAAACATTCCCTCATTAACGAGTCTTTGTACCCAGGCCTCAATACGTGAGACTTTGTACAATATGTGACTAGGCCCCAGGTCACATTGCGCTATGTTGCTTGCAAAAAACAACTTTTACTGGAAGAGGGGCTACTGAGTCGGGTATGGTCGAGGGACAGGCTGCAGCCACACAATTTCAAACACCCGAAAACGGGGTGGCTGGCATGGGGTACCCGCGCGAGGATCTATGGTCTTCCATCGAGACCTCAACTTTGACATTTGAGGGCGTATTTTACAGCGAGTTCCAGACCCTCGGGTTTAGGGTTAAAACTCGATACCAGGGGGGAAAAAAAAACAAACAAACAAACAAAAAAAAGTGTCGGCTCTAAGAGGAAACTGGGGGTGTATGCCAGGTAGCTGACAACCCCAAGATCTCGAACTTCGCGTGAAAGGTCTTCCGCCAGTAAAAGTCAGCTAGGACAAGCTTGCTTCCAGTGTGCGGCTTTCAGTTCTGTCGTATTTTCTCTTTTGCGACTAGTTGGCATTGTTACACTGCTGCGCCGTCAAACACACTAAACCCGCAGTTAGATTGCGACAGCCCGCGTCTTGACTGGGGGCCTGCCTCGGGTCGGACAGTCGCTCCGGAACACCCCCTGATTCCTAGCCAGACCTCGAAACAAGCCCACCATGTTTTGTTCCCGTGCACCTTGTATATACGTCTTGTACATTAAAATTGTGATTTGTGACCATAAATTATTTCTCAATTTGTTAAATGTTAATAATTACTTTGGCCCCTCTGTTTTGTATTTTAGTTGTCATTGTTATCCAAAACTAAATTTCAATATTTTTTTCTGCAAATCATAATTTTTTTCTTAAAGAACCTTCACAAACTGGCACTTCAAAAAATCACTTCGGAAAATCTCATTATTCTTGGGTTTTTTTTTTAGGTTGAACAATAAATGCATGATTCATGTAACTGTAATAATGTGGTTTGTATGGTATTTTAGGATTGTAGTACAATTCATTGAGTAAAACAGCATAAGTTTTTCTTGTAGTTGACATTGTCAAAGCGCACAATAATTAATATAACTGCACAATATGAATTGCCCTAGCTAGTCATGTACTCTGAAGGGGTACTGTAAATACCCTAATATAAGCCATTTATAAGCCCATTAAGCTTATACAGTGCAAAAATTCATAAACGATAACACGGCACCAAAGCGAGTGACATGATTCGAATTGTACTATAAGATGTCCCAAGCTTAGTTTTGGTGCGATATTCTCATGCGGATGCCCTATCTAGCTCGGTCGATGAATTTTCCCGTATTATTATGTGCGGAATATTGTACCGTTCTCCTGAAAACACGAAGCAATTTGTGCTCCCCTTCTCTCCGGCCCATTTCAGATTCGGAAAAAAGTTGCCTAGAACGGAACATGTTGACAACAGGTTGTGCAGTATGCCTATTACGTTATGGTGGATCTTGTCGTGGATCCATATCGAAGCCTCCGTAAATGGCCAATCTCGAGGATCGCCAGCGACTTGTCGATGTCGGTACGTAGGTCAACGACCATGGGCTAAACGTCGACGATTACGGTGAGCAATCTAGCCAATCCAAGGTCTAGTGAGATCGCCAGAGGTGCCCCAAAGTCATTGTAGCAGTGAGTCGTTGTCGGAGGGTTAGCGAGGGCTCACAGACGTGCTCTCCAACCGATCGCTTGGACGGTCCAGTAGGGATCGTGTTCCGAGGGAAATGTAGTGATCGCGGGCGGCAATGGCGGTGTGCGGCTGCGAGGAATCTTCTGGTGAGGTATCTTCGACACATTTTTCTTCCGTTTCGGCAAGGTTCGCTCTGTGGGATGCACCCAGCGTTGTTCGTACAGGTTGATCCATTATTCTAGCATGATGATGGTGTGACCGCAGTCGGCGACGGGTCCAAGATGGTCGAAAATGAGAATGAGCATGCCACTCGCATATATGATGCACTCGATGTAGTATCTGTAACTTTGCAAGCCATCAGTTGTGTCGCTGAAAGAGGTTGACTGCAGACCCTTGACGATGAGGGTTTAGGGGAACAAGAAGTCTGGAGTATGAGTTGTTGGATTCGATTACGGCCACTGCTGTCGGCGAACAGTGGTTGGCATTGGCAATGGCGACATCGCAGGTGATGACGACATGTCTCTCATTGTACGTGTAGTGGGACGAGCCCACCGTATGTTGTCCACAATAGCTGTTAAGGTGCCGCTTGCCAAACTTGTCTAGCAAGGGGCGAGCGATGTTAGCGATAAGGGGGATTACGTATTGGGTGTAGTTTGGCTTGTGGTGATTGACGGATAGATGGTAGATTTCCACCAATATAGGTTTGCGCGCATTCAATGACTTCGGCAGTAGCGGCAAGAGTTGGTATTCGTGGCATTCGCTTGGTCCAACAAGGCTAGGGTCATTCTCTGATTGGTACAAGGCATGCCTTTCTCAATGACGTTGTAGTACTCAAAATAGCGATTACTGCAGCAACTACGAAAGTCGCCATCCATGCTAGGAATCATGCAGCTTGTGACTTGTCGCCCTCTCTTCCTAGCTGGTCTACTGGTGGAAGGTTGAAACCCGCCGCGAATATAAGCAGCTTATGGCGCGCGTCGTTGAGGTACGTTGTGATTTCAAGGTTCATCGTGCAAATTCTATGTGAAGCGGATGGAGGAGGAGAATCAACGTTAGGCAATTATTGGTGAGTCACATTGGCGAGTATACCGATTGGTGTTGTGTCCTAGTTTTTTGTAGATCGGTAGAAGAATTATTATCAATTATCATCCTCTTCTTTTTGCTGTACTTGGGTATAGAATACATTTTACTCTTCCCTCATATGTCGTTGTATGCATACAGGTTTTGCTGTTCTACAAAGAGTTGGGCACAAAGGGCTTCCTTCGACAGCACACCTAGGGTCTGTAGGAGAGACATGCAATGCCTCTAGTCTGGTACGAGAGCGGACATTATGCGACATACCCTGAAGATGGACAGTCTCAACGGAGTAAGTGGCTCAACATGACCAAATCTCTTCCTTCATGTATTTTGCGCAGTTGCTCCTACGTGACATGAGCGAGGATGCGCATCTTCTTGATGGAACCAATGCCGAGTTGCTCCGAGGGAGATATGTTTTTTATGAGGAGCGAGTATGCGTAGAGCGATTCGTTATCGTAGCGAGACCCTCTTCATGTTGCTGGAAATGATAAAAGAACTTAATGCATTTCCGGAGTCTTGCGTGAGTGTACGGATACGAGAAGACTACAACAACGAGGATCACCGAGTCAACACTGCTACAGTACTACCCATGGTTGACATAGGTTGACGACACCTTGCAAAGGTTACGAACGGGCAACGGTCGCAGATCGTTGATCGTGCAACCCAATGGTCAGAATCGGAAGAGTCGAGAGTCAGCGCTACAGCAATGACAAATAACCGTCCCGTTATTACAGTACGCATGGTTACCCGAGTTGCTTTATCGAGTCGTAAAAAGGGAATGTACCCCTTTAAGTGCATAAACAGTTAGACTCTTCATATTCTCTTGTATCATTATATAAACCTTGTATCCCTTTGCTATAATCAATCACTTGTTCTCTCATACCAGTACAAGGGTTCATCTCAAGACTTCAGCTGTGCTATTAAGCTCTCTGTTACAAGGACTTAGCCTTCTGGAAAGATCCTGGGGCTATTCTTAGCCCAACATGGTATAAGAGCTACTCAGAAGCTATGCTCCCGTCACAAACTCTCAGTGAGTTTTAACTTGGTTACAAAACCACTCGCAACAATCTCAGTTTATTAATCAAGGATACAAGACATGGCGCCATCTTAGGGCGATGGATCCTCTACTAGATCTCCCTCTGCACCTCTAGTCTCTGGACTACAGACTGAGGCAGTCGCAGCTGCAGGAGCCTCCACGCAACCAGTGGCCTCCTCCTCGGACATAGACCCGAACCTCATGGAGAAGTTCTTCTCCTTCATGTCGACCTACGAGCAGTCATCAACACCTGCTCAATCGGCACACAGCAACAACAATAGAGCAGTTCCAATGAGCCTTGACGGTGCATCGTATGCAAGAGGCACACAACCTACACAGCATCAACCTTACCAGCCCTTGCCAGGCTCGCTCACCTTCCTGCCGACTCCTGCGCCAGCAGTGTACTCGGAGACAACTGACAAGCAGTCAGACATCGTCACCATGCAACAACAGTTCAACAATATTCTAAAATTGCAGACGTCCTCACCTAACAATGGCAAGGACTTCTTCGCCTGGAGCTTCGAGTTTGATTTGCTGATGGATGGCGCGCAAATCCTCGGCTTCTTCACCGGCTCTTGGCCCTTCCTTGTAAACGGGACTACTCAAAAGAAGAAGATTTACACTTATCAATCGCTGATGGCCTTCACCATCCTCTTGCGCAACCCGACAGCAATGGAGCGACAAAAGCATTCGCACGTATCGCAACTTCGGCA